TACTAATACCCCCCCCCCCCCCAAAAAAAAAAATAAATAATAAATAAATAAAAAAATAAAAAAGAAATGAACGTAAAAGTGTCTCAAACGTATCCCAGCAAAAAGTAGACCCTTTTCAAGCCCAGTAACATTGGACGTGAGTGTTTTGAGAAAAATAGCAGAGGCAATGATCAAAGTCACCATATAGCTAGTCAAACAAGGAAAATCACAGACGTAGAAGTCTGAGAAGATATAACAAATTAGTACCGTCGATTCCGCCCAGACTTAGATGCACAAAACATTGATGGCAATCTATTTCCACGGCATTTTTCAGTTAGAATCGTACCTTCAGTATTACATCACAAAACAAGCCACTTGTTCTCTGGGTGTTCAGTGCACTGAGTATCGAAATCGTTTGTTTTTGTTCGACGAAGGAAAGAACCTCTTTCTTTCTGGAAGCAGCCATATTTGCCAACTGAAGTTTATCCGTTGAGTTTCCAAGAAAAGAGCAATTCACTATTAGCTATTCGTAAGTATTAATTATTTGTTGGGCAAATAATGGTGGCATCTTTTTTTAATTCGCGTTAAAAACAAGTACTATTACAAAACGATTTAGAAAGAAATGATCAGAAGGAGACATACAATTTAATAATATACTAGAGAACCGAATTTGAAATGGAAAATAATCAACACCGATACCCTTGTTGTTACCAAACTATTAAACAGGAAGTGAGAGGGGAGGTGTGGGGGCGCGGCGAGCGAAAATGTCATCAAAGTTGAAAAAGCTTGGAGCGAACATCGACATTGATAACACATTGAGTGCTGAAGGAGAAGATAGTGAACTAAGCCTAGTAGACGACAGTGAAGTGTTATCGGATGCTCTGCAGGGAAAACTGTCATTCACTGGAGATAATGCTAATGGCAATGCCAACGATTCCCCAACGGCCACAAATATAGGTGATAGTATTCTTGAAAACAGGAAATATTCGTGGAATATTTGAACTCTACAGTGTACATTTTATTATGGTTTTAATCTGCTTTTGATATCTGCTCTTCGTTAAGTAGCATTATTACATGAAGTAGCAGCTTTAATGATTAATCAATAATTAATGTAGGAATCAAAGTTATATTTATCAAATCAAGTGAAATATCTGCCAATTATCCTTTGTTTTATCATTCGCTTGATTGTTTATTGTTTGTTTTCCTTTCTAACTTCCTTCATTCTTTTTCATATCTGCCAATTATATGCTATGTGAATAACTTTGTTTTATTTTGATATTTATTTATTTATTTATTTTGTTTGTTTATTTGTTTATTTTGATTTCTTAGTCTCTTACTATTATATATTTTTCATAGCCACTTAAAGGCACCTGAGCACTAAGAGTAGCTCCCTGTCATGTGAGTTGTGTACCAGTAATAAAGAAGGTCATCATCATCATCATTCCTCTTCGTCCTGTGTGGGACATAAGGCCACAGTCACTTCTTTCCACTTGGCCCTATCTCTGGCTATGTGCTGGGCCTGTCCCCATGTGAGGTCCACCTCCTTCAGCTCTGCCATCACTGTTCGGCACCAGGTGGTCTTGGGCCTTCCTCTCTTTCATTTTCCAGGTGGTGTCCATCTCAGAGCTACCTTAGGTACTTGGTTCTCGTCCATCCTGAGTACATAGCCAAGCCACAATAAAGAAGGTATTATATTATTATATATAAGTTATCTTCATTTCAAATGGTTCTCTTCCTTTTCTAGCAGGCAGCTCCAGGGCTCCAGTGGCCCCTCCCCTGTCCACCGTGCTCTACACCCCCGACCACAACTCCAAGCCTTCACCGGCGCAAGTGGCATTTGAGATCCTGCGGACCAAGACCATCAAAGACGGCAGGTCAAGATATGTGGTGAGGATCACATACTTAAACGCACACACGTGCGCATGTGTGTATAACATAAGATGCTCACTTACCCTTGCACATAAACACATGCACACATTATTTTCCATGGGCAGACTCAGATGTGATCATGAGGTCACACACACACACACACATACACAAACACACACACACACACACACACGCATGCACACACATGCACAGAGATCCCTGTTGAATTTTCAGATTTGCTTAAAATTATGTTGTGGTCACACTGTCTTTCCTTACTAAAACTAACCTCTTTAAGCAAAAATCACTACTGAGTTTAAATTTAGTCTTATAATTTGTTCAAATCTGGGAAATATGGGGGAATTTTGTTTGGCATGTTTTTCACACCTTGCTTTGTCCCATAAAATGCTGACAACTGTGTTTATATAAATTGTTTTTATGCATTTCAGTTGTACACAGTTGCAATAATAAGGACCCACCAGTTTGACACTTCACAAGCAACTGTTGATAAAAGGTATTCTGACTTTGAAAAGCTTTACAACTCATTGAGGAAAAGGCTGACTGCACAAATGCAAGAGATAGCCTTTCCGAAGAAAGTTCTTACTGGAAATTTTGATGACAAGACGATAGCTCACCGAAGTCGTGCCTTCGAACAGTTCCTAAGCCATGTATATGCCATACCAGAACTGCGCGAATCAGAGGAATTGCACAACTTCTTTTTCAAAGTTGATCTCGACAAAGCACTGTTGTATCTCAGGAATGGAGAATACTTGGAAAGTATTCCCCTGCTTTTAAATGCCTTGAATATGCAGCAGAAACTTCTAGGTGATTCCCACCCAGACGTTTTGAAGACAGTATGTGCAATAATAGTAGCCTATAATATGAGGGAAGAGCACAGCAATGCACAGAAGTTTGCAGATATGGCACTGAAGTTAATCGGCGAGGACAGTAGCAGTCGTTACTTGATGCCGGTGTTACAGCTAAATATCCGCCTGTGCTGGGTGCTAGGGAAGGAGAAGGCCGACCTTGAGGAGAAACTTGCTGACCTTCATGAGAAGGGTTTGGAAATGCCCAGCCCAGATCGTCTGCTGGAGATGGTGGTGCAATGAATNCTAAGTGCGTGTCACACTGTGACGTCACCATTAGCCCGTGCTCGGTGACACAGGCATTCTGGGTAATGAACTGTGCAGAGTCTGTGAGAGTGAAGCTGTTTTCCTGGGTCCCTGCTGGTATGATCACCTTGGTGAGGTACGGAAATTGTTTACTCGTCTGTAGGCCATGCTGTGGTTGTTGAGATTGCTGCCCCGTTGGTGCCAAATTGTCCTCGGTAACTTGGGCAAAGAATTTCTGATCTGCAACATGACTGATTCCTCTCCTGTTAGAGTCTCCACCAAGGCCATGTGTTGCTGGGTCAGTAACAATTGACAGCTGATTTTCTTGCATGGGGAAAATGAGTTTAAAGGGCATTGTGAGTTTGTTTGTCACTTGTTTCTTTTCCTCCTTATCAGCATCCTCTGCTGTTGTGCCACCATACTTCTGCTCTAGGGTTTGTCTTTTCTTGGGTGGCTCTCCTATGCTGTGAGATTTCATTAGGTGTTCTCTCAGCTTGTCCATACGCGTGGTGGAAAAATCACAGATGTCACACTTAAAAGGCCGAACAGTAGTGTGAAGACTTGAATGCCTGCGTAAGTTTTTCACCATGGAGAATGCAGTGCCGCATATTTCGCACTGGTGTGGTTTCTCGCGCGTGTGCGTGAGCATGTGATTTTTCAAATTCTGGCGTTTGGTCGCCTTAAAGTTACAACCTGGCACCTCACAAGAAAACATATTCCCTGTATGTATTAGTCTGTGAGCCTTGAGCTGACTTTTGTGAACGGTGGAGTAACCGCAAAAGTCGCACAAATGTTTCTTTTCAGTAGAATGAATCACTTCATGGTTCTTCAGGGCGTGTTTCCACTTGAAACCAGCCCCGCAAGTCTCACATATAAAAGGTTTTTCTTTGAAGTGCACAGGGGCGTGCATGTTGTATTTTGTTTTTGTGTTAAAACGTTGGTCACAGCTGGGGCAGAAGTAAGGCTCTGGGCCAGAATGCTTCTCCAAATGTTCTTCCAGCTGTGAACCATCCTCGAAATGTTCATCACAGAATTTGCATATGTTTTCTTGCTGCTTATGCCAGTCTTGATGTTTACTGAGCTCCTTAGGTTTACAGGTGGTGAAATCACATTTCTCACATTGATACTGAGTTTTTTTCTTTTTCTTTGGTGTATTGTCTGGTGATTCTTTAACATCAGACTTGGTTTCATTCTGCTCTGTCTCACTTATTTGCTCGTCCTCTTTACTGCCTTGTCTCCGCTGAGGAAGGTAACTTTTTCTTTTTCCCAACCTGGTGCTTCTCAGAGGTCTGCCAGTTGAACTGAGCTTTGACTCAAGATCTGTACTCTCTCCGCCATCATCTCCGAGAGGAGGCACGCGACTGGTGTCTAAATCTTCCTCACCCTCATCTTCTTCTACCTTATAACCCTTTGCTCTAACATGCTTTTTGCGATGTTGGCTCTTTATTCCCTGACAAAATTTTATCAAAGGGGAAACTTGTAAAATTCCTGCAATTTCTGACAGTTTATTTTGCAATATGACCGGGATTTGTAATCTCCCTGTGTACAAGAAATTCAAAATGGCCTCCACAACAAGAATGTAGGACTTGTCAGTCTCGGCACTGTCTACATGAACTTCTATTGTCTGTGGTGACCCCTGGGAGTAGATTCTGGGTACATTCTCACTCAGCAAAGAAGTTAAATATGTGCTGCCTGCCGCAAGAACATTGGAGTGGGCAGGGAATTCATGACCACATACCTGGAATGTAACAACTATATAATAATAATGATACTATAATAAACAGTAAAACAAATTTTGCCTTCACACTGCAGGAAATTCATGGCCATGTATCTAGAATAAAAAAATAAAATAAAAATAAAAATTAATTACAATCATTCTACTATTAATTGATAAACATTAAAAAATCCAGCCATTAATATAACATTTGCAGCCCGTTTGCATGTGATGACGATTTTTCTATGCAACTGTGATATCAATACCATATATGTATACAAAAAAAAAAAAAAATCAACGTAAAAATGTCTCAAACGTATCCCAGCAAAAAATAGACCCTTTTCAAGCCCAGTAACTTTGGATATGATGCTAAATGATTTGCCAAAAATAGCAGAGGCAATTATCAAAGTCACCATATAGCTAGTCAAACAAGGAAAATCAAAGACGTGGAAGTCTGAGAAGATACATCATACAACAAATTCCGAGCGTGAACAAATTAGTACCGTCCATTCCGCCCAGACTTAGATGCATAAACATTGATGGCAATCTATTTACACGGCATTTTTCAGTTAGAATCGTACCTTCAGTATTACATCACAAAACAAGCCACTTGCTCTCTGGGTGTTCAGTGCATTGAGTATCGAAATCGTTTGTTTTTGTTCGACGAAGGAAAGAATCTCTTTCTTTCTGGAAGCAGCCATATTTGCCAACTGAAGTTTCTGCGTTGAGTTCCCAAGAAAAGAGCAATTCACTATTAGTTATTCGTACTTGTTGATTATTTGTTGGGCAAATAATGGTGGTATCTTTTTGAATCCATGTTAAAACAAGTACTACTTCAAAACGTTTTAGAAAGAAATGATCAAAAGGAGACATACAATTTAATAATACAGAGAACCGAATTTGAAATGGAAAATAATCATCACCGATACCCTTGTTGTTACCAAACTATTAAACAGGAAGTGAGAGGGGAGGTGTGGGGGCGCGGCGAGCGAAAATGTCATCAAAGTTGAAAAAGCTTGGAGCGAACATTGACATTGATAACACATTGAGTGCTGAAGGAGAAGATAGTGAACTAAGCTTAGTAGACGACAGTGAAGTGTTATCGGATGCTCTGCAGGGAAAACTGTCATTCACTGGAGATAATGCTAATGGCAATGCCAACGATTCCCCAACGTCCACAAATACAGGTGATAGTATTCTTGGAAACAGGAAATATTCGTGGAATATTTGAACTCTACAGTGTACATTTTATTATGGTTTTAATCTGCTTTTGATATCTGCTCTTCGTTAAATAGCATTATTACATGAAGTAGCAGCTTTAATGATTAATCAATAATTAATGTAGGAAGCAAAGTTATATTTATCAAATCAAGTGAAATATCTGCCAATTATCCTTTGTTTTATCATTCGCTTGATTGTTTATTGTTTGTTTTCCTTTCTAACTTCCTTCATTCTTTTTCATATCTGCCAATTATATGCTATGTGAATAACTTTGTTTTATTTTGATATTTATTTCTTTATTTTGTTTGTTTATTTGTTTATTTTGATTTCTTAGTCTCTTACTATTATATATTTTTCATAGCCACTTAAAGGCACCTGAGCACTTAGAGTAGCTCCCTGTCATGTGAGTTGTGTACCAGTAATAAAGAAGGTATTAAATTATTATATATAAGTTATCTTCATTTCAAATGGTTCTCTTCCTTTTCTACCAGGCAGCTCCAGGGCTCCAGTAGCCCCTCCCCTGTCCACTGTGCTCTACACCCCCGACCACAACTCCAAGCCTTCACCGGCGCAAGTGGCATTTGAGATCCTGCGGACCAAGACCATCAAAGACGGCAGGTCAAGATATGTGGTGAGGATCACATACTTAAACGCACACATGTGCGCATGCGTGTATAACATAAGATGCTCACTTACCCTTGCACATAAACACATGTACACATTATTTTCCATGGGCAGACTCAGATATGATCATGAGGTCACACACACACACACACATACACAAACACACACACACACACGCATGCACACACATGCACAGAGATCCCTGTTGAATTTTCAGATTTGCTTAAAATTATGTTGTGGTCACACTGTCTTTCCTTACTAAAACTAACCTCTTTAAGCAAAAATCACTACTGAGTTTAAATTTAGTCTTATAATTTGTTCAAATCTGGGAAACATGGGGGAATTTTGTTTGGCATGTTTTTCACACCTTGCTTTGTCCCATAAAATGCTGACAACTGTGTTTATATAAATTGTTTTTATGCATTTCAGTTGTACACAGTTGCAATAATAAGGACCCACCAGTTTGACACTTCACAAGCAACTGTTGATAAAAGGTATTCTGACTTTGAAAAGCTTTACAACTCATTGAGGAAAAGGCTGACCGCACAAATGCAAGAGATAGCCTTTCCGAAGAAAGTTCTTACTGGAAATTTTGATGACAAGACGATAGCTCACCGAAGTCGTGCCTTCGAACAGTTCCTAAGTCATGTATATGCCATACCAGAACTGCGCGAATCAGAGGAATTGCACAACTTCTTTTTCAAAGTTGATCTCGACAAAGCACTGTTGTATCTCAGGAATGGAGAATACTTGGAAAGTATTCCCCTGCTTTTAAATGCCTTGAATATGCAGCAGAAACTTCTAGGTGATTCCCACCCAGACGTTTTGAAGACAGTATGTGCAATAATAGTAGCCTATAATATGAGGGAAGAGCACAGCAATGCACAGAAGTTTGCAGATATGGCACTGAAGTTAATCGGCGAGGACAGTAGCAGTCGTTACTTGATGCCGGTGTTACAGCTAAATATCCGCCTGTGCTGGGTGCTAGGGAAGGAGAAGGCCGACCTCGAGGAGAAACTTGCTGACCTTCACGAGAAGGGTTTGGAAATGCCCAGCCCAGATCGTCTGCTAGAGATGGTGGTGCAATGAAATATCTTTCTGTACCTGAAATCATGATAATTTTTCGGTAATCTGTTGTTGAAGTAAGAAAGGTTTTGTTGTTACAGTAGTGATTGTTTTATGCATTGTGGGATACTGAATTGATTTGTGGTTGAAATTACGAGTAAAAACTTTGAAATATCAGTTATTTTTTTAATTAATTTTTGGAAGGGATTTGAGAATGTATTATACAATAGTAATGAAAGTACTAATATACATATTGATGCACATATCTTGTTTTTTCAAATTTCATATGATTATCTTTTCATCTGTTTATTTATTGTTCAAATTTTATTTATTTCATTGTGGGCTTTGATAATTTACTGAATGACTTTAGAGAGGAAATTTTATGGCTGGTTTTGCACAATTTTGGAAACTAGTCATTTGGGTAAATAAAAAATAACAAAATATTCATATTTATACACATAATTATGACAAGTTTTATGAAATAATTTGTTTCTGTAATTTGATAAAGTTTCTCATACTTTAGTAGCATTTAAACATAAGTCTTTCAATCCAAAACTCAAATGCTTAATGGCATCATTAAATAAAATATTTTGATAGAAAATATTGAAGAAATATCAAAAATATTTTTATCTATGATGATAATTAACATTTATATGTTACACTATATATGCAATTTTAAAGATATTCTGTACATTTCTGTCCCAAAGTCACAATTCAACAGGTTAAAACTCATGTAGTTACTTTTTTCTTTTACAATACCTTAAAAAATAAGAAATTCCCTTAAGAAAATTGTCATATTACACTGTAATAATACTGTTACAGTAATATTTTGCTCTGAAATATCAGGAAGGTGGCTTAAACTGACTTCATTTGTTTACAACTTAAGATGGTTCAAATCAATGAATCCAAATTACTTCCCAGGAAATTTAGATTTGGTATGGAAATCTCGTACAGAATATCTTTGAGTACTTTTTTTAAACATATTAATGACATAATTATGCAACAGTGACTTATCGTTTTCACTTTGGAGATTACCGAGGGTGGTTGATGCAACAACTCAAATGTTACCATGTTGATGGAGAGTGTGAAGTAAAATTTGCAGCCAATTTATAGGTATTATCAATTAATTTCTTAAGCATGTCTTAGTTTAGTAGATATACAAAATAACAGCTGAGGATCAAATACTGTAACAGTAACAATTGTCATTGTGTTATTTGTCGATCAAAACTTTTTTAAAGTTATAAGTGTACATCACAAAATGAACCCTGAGTAAAAACTCTCATTAGATACATATTATTTAACCCCTGCAATGGGTCATATTATACATTGTGCTGTGTGTTTGATTTTGGTGCTGGCAAACGGGTTGCGACACTTACGTATTTATTTAGAAGCTTGAGGTGGTTAATGAGTGTTGACTTTCCGGGCATAAGATGAAATTTTAAGAATATATATATATATAATTTTTTTTTTTTTTTTTACGGCCTTTTCAGCCAAAGTTGACTATCATTTATGTATTTGTTTTCTGTTATTATTATGATTACTTTTTGTCAAGTGCAGTGTTGGCTCTTTTTTTTTTTTTTTCATAAAATCACCAGCATTAGGGTATTACCTGGGGTCACCTACCCAGTGCATAGTTATGCATTTGATTTTTTTAATAAAGGTGCAAAAATATACTAATCCAATTTCGTCAGAGAAAGAGTTGGAATTTCGTCAGAGAAAGAGTTGGACTCACTTGCTAACCAACTTAAGTTAGTTATTTTATCTTGCTTTATGTTTGTTTGCTGTATTAACTTCCATCATTTAAACATCGACACACTGAGGTGGCTGCAAGAGTGCTTCCAGATGGCACTGTAGAATATTTCATCTCTTTGAAATAACATGGCATTTAAACATTTTATTTTGTTCAAAATGGGTAGGTAATTATCATAACTGGTAATAGAAATCGAATCATAGTACTTGATTGTTGTAATTTATGGATAATGTTGAAATTATTGAACAGATAGAGTTTTTTATTATGGTGCTATTTGTATAAACAAGGATTGTTGTATTTTGAGCAATAAACTGCATTGTAATAAAATTGAATGATTGTTATTTTTTCCCGAACAAAATGCAAAGATGATAACTTTCACATATAATTTTTTTATTTCAGAAAGCTAGGTGTCGCAGGTTTAACTAAACAAACTGAGCAAGTTCTTTGTAGGTTCTTTAGTCAATAGCAATGCAAAATATTATATGAACACTACTGTAGAGTTCATTTGCATTTTAAGACAATATTATTGACAAAGCACCTCTTACAACATATGAAGAAGTATTTGCTATTTATTACGCTATATATGGCCAGGTACACTACAAAACATAATCGGAGACATGGAAAAATCCTGAAAATTGCAGCAATTTTTATACTAAGTCTATTTTAAAAACCATTTTTGAGCTCTAAATTTCTACCCCCCCCCCCCCCCCACACCCCCGTCTCTTTCACAATGGACATAAATTTCACTTGTGATGGTAAAAATTAAAATGTACAACATGAAAATTGATTCAGTTTTTTGTTTAATGTATCCCTCAGTGATTAAAGGAAAATTGCAGAAATTTTCTGGTTTAATTTTTCACATAAAGGTCCAATGTGCACTGCACTGCACGGACGGATCATCTTTGGGACTTAAACAAATGCTGACCAGATGATTACAACCTAAAACATTTTTAATGGGAGTCTTTTTTTTACCTACTTACTATGGATGATCCTTGACCATGTAAGACTGATCAGGTGAGCCATGGATGTTAGGGTGGCATCAAAGAAATGATTTACTTTTTTTATCACTATTACATAAAACAATGAAAAAGCTATTCAACAGTGTACAAAACATACCTAAAACAAAATACAGTAACAACAAAAACCAAATGGTCCCAATAACCCAACATGCACGGATTCAAAGTGCAAAACAAAAAAAAAAAGTGACTAGGTGGACTACTGTTCTGAAGCTAACAATCATAAATCTCGACAAGAGATACTAACCATCTTACCTCATGTTACATTGAAGTCAAGGAGACATTTAACTGCTGCAGGTAAAATAGTGCAATGAATTCTTTAAAATATATAAAAACAAACCATTCTTTGGTTAGAGGAAACCCTGTGTTGATAATGAAAACAACTTTTAAAGTGAAAGTGAAATGCTGATATCTATTCACTGTCCAAAAGCCACTAGCAGCAGTTTTTTCAAATTATGCTTTCAATTATGCGAACAAATTAGAGTTAACACTTTAAAACAAAAATTCTGCTAAATATTAGCAGTAAAAATCACAATATGGAAAGATATTTCTGGACACATCTTCAGTTAATTTTCTTTTCCCGTATACATCCCAAATTAACTGATGGAGATCTTGTAAAAATAAAAAAGAATCAAATAAATAAATAAAAATAAATAAATCAAGTAACTTATGTGGACTTCATCGCTAAAACATGGTACTGTAACAGGCAGTACAGCTAATCGCCAACTCCATCACGAGTCCTGTTAGTCTCCAAGAATTTCCAATCCTTTGGTACTTATAAATATCACCGAATACATCAATTAGCATGGTCTCTAAAACATGATGCAGGAAGACAAGCTAATCATCAACTCCCTCAGTTGTCCTTTGAGTATCCAAAGATTTCGGTCTCCATACTTTTGCCGTGGATCGTGGAAGAGGGGGATTGCCTAAAATGATATCGGCACACTTCTCTGCTGTCATGATGGTCGGCGCATTCAGATTTCCACTGACCACGCTTGGCATGATGGAGGCATCCACCACGCGAAGATTCTCGATACCAAACACCTGCGCTTTGTTGTTCACCACCGCCATTTTGTCGTCCTCAGCACCCATTTTGCAGGTGCATGATGGGTGATAGGCACTGTCACCGTAATTCTTAATGTAGGTATCAATCTGCTCATCAGTGGTAACATGGGAACCCGGCAACAACTCCGGCCCTCTAAACTGATCAAAGGCTTTCTGCGCAAATATCTCTCTGGTCAGACGCACAGCAGCCCTGAAATCCACCCAGTCTTCCTCAGTGGACATGTAATTGGGGTCGAGAATGGGGTGATCGTAGGGGTTGGCTGATTTTAGCTTCAAATACCCTCGACTCGGAGATATCATGGTACCCATGTGACACTGAAAAGCATGGCGGTCGCCCATCTTGCGCCCATGGTCGTTGACGGTAGACGGGAGGAAGTGGAACTGTATATTGGGATGCTCGAGGCCTGGTCGAGTCCGTATAAAACCCCCGGTCTCAAGGTGGGCCGAGGCCCCCCAGCCTTTCTGGGTCAAGAACCACTGGAGACCTATACGGATCATATTGTGTGGGAACTTCCACTGGGCACTGTACAGGGTGATGGGCTGGGAGCACTCCTGCTGAAAGTACACCTCCAGGTGGTCCTAAAATGGAAAAATAATAATATTATATTTATTAACAGATGTTCCACAGCAAACACTACCACATTACCCCCCCCCCCCCCCAGCCCAACGTCCATATGTAATGACCAAGTTACATCTGAGAGGTTGTAAACTGAACTTATAAAAATATTTTTAATTTCCATCTTGAATAATGTAAGAAATCAACCTTGCCCTTTAAAATCTAAGTATTTTAAAATGGAACTTCATCATATCAAGACAAAAAAGCATATTTTATTGGACTCCTAAAATGACTAACAGCTAGTGCAAAGTTACTAAACAGACTGTCTAGTGTTTTAAAGTGCTAATTTCTTCTATTGTTCAACACACATTTGACCAAGCATGCACTATAAACAGTACTGTAGTATACACAGGTATATTACTATAGGTTTAATACTTACCTGTAAGTTCTGTCCCACCCCAGGTAGGTGCTGTACCACAGGTATATTACTATAGGTTTAATACTTACCTGTAAGTTCTGTCCCACCCCAGGTAGGTGCTGTACCACAGGTATATTACTATAGGTTTAATACTTACCTGTAAGTTCTGTCCCACCCCAGGTAGGTGCTGTACCACAGGTAAGTCCAACTTTTTCAGGTCGTCAGCGTCGCCCACACCAGAAAACATCAGTAGCTGAGGAGAGTTGATGGCTCCACCAGACAGAATAACTTCTTTCTCTGCTCTTACATGCTTCAGCTAGGAGGACATTAATATTCATTTGTAATAATAATAATAATAATAAGAAGAAGAATATGTTTATCACATCTTTCAGTCTCACAAAACAGTGGTATAAAGAGCAACAAGATGTCTTCCACATGAGGCAAGCCTGACCATACCGTTGAAGATCTTGGGGATAACTGACATCAACAACAGTTAAAAATAGTAAAAATAATAATGTTAAAATGAAAATGTAAGATTCCACACTTAATCTTAACTACTTAAATCAAAATTGGTAAGAACTGATGTGAGAAATAAAATTTCTTAAATAACTGAAATTGTTTTTTTTTTTTTTTAAATTTGCGAAAAAAAACCCCACAAAACCATGAAATCCTTCTCACCTCTGCCCCTTTCTTCTGCTTGTATTCCACACCAACGGCTCTGTTTCCTTCAAACAGCACACGGTGAGTCATGGCCAGGGACTGGACGGTCAGGTTACTGCGGTCAAGGGCTGGACGTAAGTACCCCTGGGAGGCGCTCCAGCGTTTGCCATTATGTATGGTCATGTCCATGGGGCCGAAGCCTTCCTGCTGGTAGCCATTCATATCTGGAGTGTAGGGGTAGCCCGCTTGTAGTGCTGGAATAATAATAATATCAGTAATATTAATAATAATAGTCAGATTAATAGAAAGATGGAAAAGAGAAAGGAAAATATGGATATGATAGAGAATTCTATATGTATTAAGATGAAAAAAAACAACCATGATAATGACAATGAAGAAAATTCAAATCACTACTGACAACTCAATAACAGCACTGTAATGGTGATCAAGTACATTAATTGATAGTTACCTGCATCCACAAAAGCCTTGAACAAAGGGTTGTTAGTTTTCCCGTGTGACACATGCAGAGGTCCATCACCTCCTCTGTACTCATCAGCCCCGCAATCATCATGGGTCTGCGCCTTGCGAAAATAAGGCAAACAGTCAGCGTAGGACCAACCAGCGGCGCCCTCTTTCTCCCACCTGTCGTAGTCATATGCATGTCCACGAATGTAGACCATGGCGTTGAGGGCAGAGGAGCCTCCCCAAACACGACCACGAGGCCAGTACATGACACGGTCGTTCATGTGCTTTTGAGGAACAGTATGATAGTACCAGTTATACTTGTCATCACACAGGTTGTACATCAAGGCTGCAGGCATGTGGATTTTCCAGTTCCACCACTTATCCTCCGGCCCTGCCTCCAGGACCAGGACTCTGTTGTTTGGGTCCACTGACAGCCGATTGGCCAACACACACCCTGCTGATCCAGCGCCAACAATTACATAGTCGTAGGTGTCAGCACCTGAGGAGACAGAGGTAGAGTACTGGCGTTGTGATGAAGAGACATGATTCCCTGATGAAGTCAAAAACCCTCGCTTCTGCTGGTTTGTTATGCCTACTTTCCCAGAGCCTTTGACGGCAGAGGAGTTCACCCTGGAATCTTTAACCTCTGATTGGTCCAGCTCTGCTTCATGCTGCTCCAGGATTTGGCGATGATCCTCCGGCAACAACAGCCCCAGGACCTCCCTGATACTAGGCACCACATGATCAGCATGTGACTCGAGATCTTCCGCGCTACTCACTCCTGTCAACACCCCCACCGTTTTGGCGACATTCGCCATCTTGCCCATGCCAATATCAGACATGGTGTCCCCAACCACAAAAGTCTCTGATGGATTAACGTCAAGACACTCGCAAATCTTCCTAACAGCATCAGGGGATGGTTTGAAGAGACCGTCGCGGTCATCGCCACACACCATGGTGTCCACGTAAGGCATGATGCCAAGTTCTTTGAAGATATTCAGCGTGACATCTCTAGGATTGGAGGTACAAATGGCTATCTTGACGCCATATTCTTTCAGTGTCTTAAACATGGCTACAAGGTTCCCCACAGGTTTTGCACTCTCATAGTGGCTGGAGTCACTGCATTCATTGTAGCTCTGCTCTATCACTTGCTTGGCCCTGGTACCATCAAGATAAAATCTTAGATTAGGTGGTGATTTATAAATTGCTCGCTTAATATTTGATTATTCTAAAATTTTAACAACAACAAAATATATAACGCAAAATAATATTGCACACCTCAACTTTCTATCCTACAAGTACATCAAAAAACAATCCTTCAAAAACAAGGGAAAAAAATAAAATTTTTAAATACTTGNACTTGCTTGGCCCTGGTACCATCAAGATAAAATCTTAGATTAGGTGGTGATTTATAAATTGCTCGCTTAATATTTGATTATTCTAAAATTTTAACAACAACAAAATATATAACGCAAAATAATATTGCACACCTCAACTTTCTATCCTACAAGTACATCAAAAAACAATCCTTCAAAAACAAGGGAAAAAAATAAATTTTTAAATACTTGACAATAAAATAAAAGTCAGACTTGTCCCACACCTGAACTGAACCCCAATGTAAATAATTAATAAAAACAAACTTATACCTGTAGTGATTACTTCACCTCCTGCAACTGTATATCTCATTCAAAACAAAAGTGCGACATCTCTTACAACATCTCTTACAACATCTCCAGTAATTAGATCAAAATCAATTTTTAAAATTCAGCCAACCGCACCTATATCTGTACATGCCCTGATCACAGAGAATATCTTCTAATCGGTGGCACATCTCTGAGTGGGTGGCCTCCGCCCATAGTCCAGGACCAAACTTGCCGCTCTCTGTGCAAAACCCCAACATGGAGTACACCTTGTCTCCAAGGTTCAGGCCACTGTTGACCTCCAGTCTGGGTAAAATACAATGAGGACATCATTATTTTAAGGTTAAGGTCACTGTTGACCTCCAGTCTGGGTAAAATACAATGAGGACATCATTATTTTAAGGTTCAGGTCACTGTTGACCTCCAGTCTGGGTAAAACACAATGATTAAAGACAATATTATTATAAGGTTCAAGCCACTGTTGAAGGGAATTCTTAATAAATCTAAATTCAGAAAAAAAAAAAATCTGAGTTAAATTTATACATTACCATACCTAAGTAGATACTAACCTCTGTTTCAGTTTCTTGATCCACTCTGGCCAGTAACTATTGAAGTACACCAGGGAGCCATCTTTATCAAAGATGACCAGTGAGGCCTTCTTACCAGGTCTGATAGCCACTGACCGCCTGGGCTTGACCACTCCTCTCTGGTCAGCTCCAGTCTGTGGACAGAATAAGGGCAACTTTAAATATATATATAAATAAATTTTAGGCATGCATATCTCAAGAAATTGTCATTTCTCAAATAGACTGGGCGATCTTATGCTGTGTTGGAAATGTACAACTCGTAATTGATCTAAAAATTTAAACCATTTTTTGGCCAAGTTCCTTAAATTTGTGAAACTGGCCCCACAACAAATGAAGTAAACAACTACTTACAAGGAACTGTTGGTCTAAAACAGCACCAATTCGAATCCATTTCTTGTTCAAAGTCATATCCATCTATTGCACTACTGCCAATTTACCTTCAGTTGGTGATTTACCTTGGCTCAAAGTCGTCTCAATTTTTTTTTTTTTTTTTTTTTTGTCAATGGTTATTTTGTGTAAAAAGTAAGGGTCAAGGGAAGTTACTTTAATGAATACATTACACATATCAGAGTGAAGAAGTGAGACCAGACACACTGCTTGTATCTTTCAAAGTTTGTAGCAGAACTGGTGGTCACTATGTGTATATTATAATAATGATAATGAATATAGCACCTACCTGAGGTGGATAGCACACCTGTCCATCTTCGGCCACCAGGGAGTAGTTTGTGTGGACCTCAGCTGGTAAAATGAGGGGGACAATGTCCATCAGGCGGTCCACCACCACATCAGCATGGGGCTCCAGCTCCTCCCTGGGGGTCACACCTGGGCAGGGAGAGATAGGGGAGACATATGGGTCATTGCTAACTGCTTGATTGTTTAAACAGGGTTTATAGAAGTCTACCCAATTTCCAAAAATTGGTCAAGTTTTTAGAATAAAACTTGGTGCGATTTTTTTTAAAGATTCATTCATAGAGAAATCTAATATTGTCTGATTAGTTAGCCTTGTTTTTCATGTCATAAAATAATTATATTTCACCAACAGTATCACAAAGAGTTACTTATTTTGGTTCATAGTAGATTTAAATTTTCCTCCTAATTTTTTACAGAGAAATGTACCGGCCCCTGCTTTATCTGTGCTGTGATCCTAAAACTAAATTTCTTACAGACTGCAGAAGCCATCTTATAATTAGAAGTAGCAATAAAAATTTTGTCAGTAATCCCTCTTTTCTAAATATTTTCAAAAATTTCTTTAGACAGAGTAAACTTTTTCAGTCATTGACAAAATATCTACAGACAAAAGCTTTGATCTCATCTTTATCAGGTTTACCTGTGCTGACCCCTATACTTCCGCCCAGGTTAGCCAGACGTCCCATGCCAACATCAGCAAGAGAATCTCCAACCATGATCGCCTCTGAGGGGTCCACATTCAACTCACTGCAGATCATATTTGCATTATACTGAGCTGGTTTGGGGATATTATCTATATCATCCCCACAAACCAGTCTGTCTATCTGCGATAAGAGTCCCAAACTTTCCAATGACTGAAGCGTTCCGTACCTCGAGTCTGATGTGCATATTGCGATCTTCATATCGTGCTCTTTGAGCACCCTAAAGAGGGTATGCAAGTCATCGAGAGGTCGTAATGACTCTTTACTCGTGTGGTCAGCCTCAACGTAGCTGTCCTTGACAATCTGGTCTGCCCTCTCCTTGTCTATCCCTTCAGACACCAGTAAATTTTGAAGCCTTTGTTTCACCATGGCTGACGTGCCCTCCGCCAGCACTCCTGGCTCTACGATGTTCTTCTGGTTGCAGTAGCCAAACACTTCATACACTTTGTCTGCTATTTTCAGGCCAGAGCCTTCTTCAATTCTGAAGTTTAATTAGATGCTAAGTGTACTTTTTGCAATGTTTTAACATAATTCAATCTTGGGGGGTAATTTTGACCTAAAGACAAAAGGCAAATCTCACCTCTTTAAAAAAGGAAGTTGTGTTATTCAAAGTTTGCAAATGTACTTTCAAACTTTCAAAACTGCTTACATGAATCAAATTTTCTTGCTCTCTGAAACTCAGGGTGTTACTGGAAATTGCAGAGGCATGCTGACCATAAAGCTTACCATTACAGCAACCTCTGAAAATCACTGTGATGTTCTCAGTGCATCTTTAAACTTACTTTTTAGCCACAATTCTCGCCCATGGCCCCCACATTGCATGAAAACATATCATCGTTCCATCCTTGTCGAATATCACCAAGGATGCCTTCCTCTTTCTAAACGCCTTCAGTGGTTTCTCTGTTTGCACCTGGTAGTGAGCCTGCTCGATGTCATGGTGTTTGACAGATGTCGAAGCTGTGACTTTAAAGAGGCGATTGTGTGTCGGTTGACCACGTGCGAATAACGTGTGTACTGAAAAATAATGATATAACTTAAATAAATGTAGCTCAAAGGGTGAATTTCTTTTCAAACTTTTTTCAATTTATGATTATTTTATACTATATTTTCATTTCTAATACTACATGTTATTTTGTAGCACATGGTAGCTCTCAAGAAACACACTGATTTGTTGCCTTGTAGTCCAAAATTGGTAGTTTCTAGTAAAATTTTCAACTTGTATTGTTCTCACAAAAATATTATGAATTATGAATGGTTACCAAATTACCAAGATCAAACTCAAACTAATACATGTCATTGACAAAACAACAAAAAATTACATTCAATTGTTACTTTCAATAAAAATACATAACTGTCATTTATGGGAGTACATAGTTACACAGTCAGTGAAATTAAACATGAACACACACATATATTTATATATATATATACATACTATATTAGCCACAAATAACCAAATCTCCATAATCAAATGTTAGTAATGTACCAAACTACTTATAGTATACTTTTTCATGAGAAGGAGCAAGGACCATCAAGCCAGGTACAAATATTCCAATATAATCAAACACTGGACTGTATCAAATCGCATAAAAATAAAATTCATTTCAGTTCAACGAGTGGATACTGTTAACCAAATCAGATATGTAAACTAGTATAGATCAATGATCAATAATTTAAAGTATTTCACACATTGTGAGCCAGAATTGTGTTTCATACTTTGGGGCCCACTTCACAAAATAATCTAGTTTAGAAGTGAAATATAAAAGGCTTTCAAGACTTAGCCTTGTAAGTACTAGTACTGAGTTGTTTCTCAAAGAATAAAAAAATAATAATAATAATACAGTTTGCCTCTTTCAACTACTAATAACTAAAGCCACTTCAACTACCTGTGAATGCCCTGAAAGGTAATTACTCTCACTGGTGACAGAAGTCCATTTCGCCACGTCACAGTCAAACACATAAAAGCTCCAAGTAGACCAATATCAAAAAGCTGACTATGCATAGATGGCTATCTGAATTTAGATGTCTAAGACTTTGTAGATGATTTGCTTAGCTACTGACTAGCATTTCTGCTTTAGGACAAAAGATTCTCAGACCCTGGAGTACTAAAAGTCCAATTGGCATAAAATCAGTTTGGAATTGTTCGGTGTACTTTTACCTATGCCAAGGAGGTTAATTTATGTTTTCACCACAATTTGTTAATTTGTCCGTTTGTCACCAACCTTAGTTATTCAAGAATTTAAGGATTAATTTTGATAAAATTTTCAGGATAGATCACCAATGGAAAGTGATGAAATTTTGGTGTTGATCTATGACACAAATCGCCATCTCAATGCAATAATTTTTTAAAAGAATTCTTCGCCATCCTCACCACTGCATGCCTTGGCCAAAGACAGCTCTCTGGGCTAAGATTAAATTGCTGTGCTCCTGCAGGGACAGCATGTGTGAGAGGTGGGGAGTTATGTCGCATTGCTTTCAAGTGGGTCAGCCATATTTCATCTGTAGATCACTTAGTCTACGGATCAACTTGGGCCACATTCAGAACAGTGGACTAACTAGTCCATGGCTAAAATATGATGACTCACTAAAAGGCTTGCCGTCTAATCCGTTAAAAGACATTGAATAGATTCCCCATGGGGAAGAATTCAAGTGGGTCGGCCATATTTGACCCTGGCTGTAGTTAGTCCACTGTTCCGAATGCGGTCTTGTTCAGAATACACGTAAGTGTTTATACACTAGTTATTATAGTAAGTAATGAAGTGTGTTAACCTTACGCCTAATAATACACCAACCAGTGCTAGCCCTGAATCTCACTACAACAAGTGTTATTGACATATTAATAAAACCTAGACCAGTTCTGGGAGCAGAAATTGTGTTTCTTGTTGACTTGAGTTGAACTAACTCTGATTTGATCCAAATCAGAAATCAGCCTGATTACAATATATTAGCCCAAACAGAGGCCACTGTGCACAAACAGTGTTTGGTAGATTATAACAGCAGAGTACTGGAGAACCAAAGGATTAGAATGGCTACAATGGTGCACTTATCGTAATCAGACCACCACCTGAGAGGGACTCAAGTACAGACAGTTCAACTCTGCTGGAAACATGTCTAATAATTTCTAGGATAAGAGGAGAGGAGAGAATAAAAGGAGGGATGTTCTATCCAAACTAACACCTCTACTGTACTGTACTATTTGCCTCCATTTTGGGGCATTTAGACAGAATCTAACAATTTTTATTTCTTTTCTTAATATCAAAAAAGAGGGAATCCTCTTAAAGGGATCAATTCCCCATTCCTGCTAGACCTGTGTAACTAATATACCATTTTGCAACCCCAACCTTTGAAAGTGATTTGAATTTTTAATACTAAATAAATTATATGAAAACATAACACACAGAAAAACAGAAAAATAGAAATGTAAAATCATATGACAATTTTTCCAAAAGGGTAACTCACAAAAAATGTTAGACAATGTACATATTTCATTTGGCAAAGTTTTTCTAGCCATCACCTACATACATACTAGTACATGCATGCTTCAAGAATCATGTACACATTATCATATGTATCTTTAAAATTTTCAGTGAAGCCTCAAAACATTTTTTTTTCCAAATATCATGGCATTGCAACATTTCAAAAATTAAAGCCATGTATTCTTTAAAGCTATTATTGGTAAAATAAAGAAATAAATAAAGAAATTCAAGCCATGCTTCATGTTTTAAAAGAAAGGTATATGTGAAGCAAAACTGAGATGGATAAAAAATCAACAGCAACACAATAAACAATTTCTTTAAATTGATATCTCACTCTCATCATACATGCTTACATGCATGCCAAATTATGGAACAAAAATATAACACAATTAACATTTAATATGTCAGTGTAACCTAACACCATGATCAAGTGCAGGCCTACCCAACTACCAGACTCGGCACCAAATGATCCTGAATTTGCGGTTAGATCGGACCACACTATCCGTTTTCAAGGTTTCTATCAGAACGCTCTTTGAAGTATCAGATGTAACGCCACTCATGCCTAGAATGAGATGTGATAGTGATGATTCTCAGCGGGGTTGGAAAGTAGTGCATCTCATCTCAAAATTTGTTCCGGGGTATGATACAGTGAAATGCGTACTGATGCACTCCTTGAAAACGGGTAGTGTGGTCCAATCTACCCGTGAATTCCGGCTCATTTGGTGCTGAGTCTGGTAGTTGAGTAGGCCTGAAGTGGAGCAGTCACACTTTAACTACTGAACAATTTACCCCTTGCATCTGGTGAGAAACTACTCTGTACTTCCAATAAATATATTTGGTAACCATCTATAAGAGAAGAATACAATAAAAATAAACTTTTCCTGAAAGAAAATTGATAATTAAAAAAAAAAAAGGATTTACTTTGTCCATAACTGCTTTAATGTCAGCTATGTGTGCTGAATTATTTGAAATCTGGAAGTTATAAATATGAGGACTCTGTCTAAACATTCAAAATTCTTTGGTTGCCTGTTTTCTGATAAATCATCCAGTATCTATCAGAATTCTTTACAATTTTAGCACAACCTTTCAGCTAACAAAACAATTCAATTCCTTATACCTCACTCAAAACTCACATGAAAAAATAAATAAATAAAAAAATTCTGGGTTGTAAAAAAAAGTCTGAAAAAATGGCTGAGTGGCCTTACAACCAATATTCTGGGGTAGCTTGAGGTTGGAAAACTGCCAAAAGAAATTGATTTCTGGCTCAAATAGGACAAAAATATCACACACATCCAACAGGTGGTTGGGCCTAGAATTTTTTCTCTAACCATGCATAATTAAATATTTTCAATTCATTTTATATTTTTCTTCTTTTTTTTTTTTACACAAAATTATACAAGCGCGTACCACATCAAGTTTGGGTTGAACACCAATTTCAACTAACTCCCCCAGTAGAAAAAAACTAATAATAGCTGGTAAGAAATGCTTTGCAACAGTGAGAGTGGCATCAAATTGACTACTAGTAAGTGCATTAAAAAAGCTGCTGAATCCTGTCACACAAAATGTCTTAAGATTTTGCACCTGGCATTGACTGCTAAAATCTGTTAGCCACCTATATAATGGTCACTTCGCAACACTACTTTAAAAGAGCTTTCCAAAACACTGACCCACAAAATACAGCTGAGATGCCTAAATAGACCACTTTAACTATTATTAGATATTAATGTCGCTTATATCAAAATTTACTCAAAAGAAGACATCAACTTTTTAGATTCTTTCAAAACAAGCCACTTCAGGGGCAGATGCAGGCCGTCTTCAAAAATGGAGGATGGGTCAACAAATATTTGGAAGACTGTCAGAAAATATCTATGGATTCTCTCCTGAACTTAGCGTGTTTAAATTCCTAAAAGTGCTAAAGCTGGACTTCATAGTACTTCAGCCATTGGGTGAGGCAGGCTCCAGATGACAGGTAGTCAGTTTAGTATTCCTCAAGCTAATACTTACTCTTCCACGATGCTCCCCTCCAACGGCGTGACATACATCTTAAACTGGCAGCCATGATGCTCCTCGGTTTGCTTCACAGATATATACTTAATGCTGGAACACAAGATTAAAAGTACTAGTTAAGTTTTTTTTAAATTATGTATTATAATGTTCAATTATACAAGGTTTATGATAAGCAGTCTACATATTTACAGTAGCAATATAAAGCAAATATGCATTTTTGGCAATGAAAATAAATATTAGGGACTACTCTTAGATGTGTTTGGGCATCTTTTTCAAAAATTTCACTCGAGTCCAATTAGTACAAGTATCATGGTTTTCAACATTCTAAATTACATTAAAATTCGTCATATATTTTGGGTTTACATAGAAAAAAATATAAAACTTGAGTCTATTGCTCTAAATAATGGAGATAATTAGTTTAAGGGTTCATTCAGAACAAGTTGATCCATGGACTAACTGATCTGAGGATCAAATATGGAAGACTTGGAAGCTTGCTCTCTCCTTATAAACAAAAAATAGATTCTCCACAAAGGCCACATTCAGAACAGGGGACTAACTAGTTGGAGGGTCAAATATGGCGACCCACTACAAAGATTGCCGTCTAATCCACTAATAGACAATGAACAGATATCCTGTCAGTGTGGGCAAGTATTCAAGTGGGTCAGCCATATTTGACCCTAGGACTAGTTAGTCCCCTATTCTGAATGGGGCCACAATAAGCTTTCAAGTGGGTAGGCCATATTTGATCTGCTACTCTGCGGATCAACTTTGGTTGTGAATGCGGTCTAAGACTTAAACTGCTCCTGCTGTCTCTACTTCTACTGCAAGTATACTAGTCAACTGTATACTGTTACTTACTAACTGTCCCTAAGACTTAAACTGCTCTTGCTGTCTCTACTTCTACTGCAAGTATACTAGTCAACTGCATGCTGTTACTTACTAACTGTCCCTAAGACTTAAACTGCTCATGCTGTCTCTACTTCTACTGCAAATATACTAGTCAACTGTATGCGGTTACTTACTAACGTAGTTGTCAGCAACTTGAGATCTTCCTATATTTCACACTCACTTATCAATTCTCCAGACAGTTTACTTGGGCACACTTTCACTTTGTTTTTCCTCCTGCAAACAAAAGAACAAATATCTCCAGACTCTAGAAGGGCTGCTTATTGAAGACACCTACAATATGGAACAAGCTCAAGTACCTTTCCCTTAATAACAAACCACCAAAACAAATAAATAAATAAATAAATAAATAAGAAAAAAATTGATCCTTCACACATTTAAAATCTAATTTTCAATTTCCCCAGATAATGTCAGGTCTACTATTTCTACTTTGAACCAGTTGATCCCAAGCTACTTTGACCACGAGGGCTAGCAGACTAAAAAATTGGCACAAACTGTATGAATCACCCACTCATGAATTTTCCCATGTGTTAGTCACAAATAACTTGCTGTCCAGTACAGTATCTTCCCATAACAGCCGTCTTCTTTATAGGCAACAGTGTACTCTATCATGAACTGACGTAATAATCAGTGTAGTAGTAAATATTTGTTTGCCCTTATTATCCTATTTTCAATGGGACAACTCAAGCTGATCACTCACAATTTGCCTTTCCATTACAATACAAATTTGCAAGTCATGTTTTACACTTTTTTTAGCTTTAAAACCATTGCTTTTATGTGGGTATTATTGTATTTCAAAGGCAACGAAAATACGTAACTTTATGAATAGAACCATGATACACAAAGAAAAAAAATATATATATACATATATAATAATGACAGGAGATGCTTACAAGCTTTCTGTAACATATTATCATCCATAATAAATCTCAAGCAGACTGATTACCTTCAAACTGATAAGATTTTGCAAGTCATATTTCTTTCTTTTTTTAGAAGCCACGCACTGATACCAAAGTATTTTATGGTTTTTCTTAAAAATTGAAATAAAAAATCTATTTCTAAGGAAATAGAAAATAAATTTGTATTGTCAAACATTTCTTGATAAAAATTTGTAGAAAAGGAATATAAGGTAAAAGATAAAAAACATCATTATCTAAAAAAAAAAAAACCTATAAAAAAAGAAAAGAAAAAATAGGTATTACTTTCTTGATCTAGAGATATAATGTATTATTTACCAGACATCACACTCAAGTTGAATACTCTCTGATATAAGGACTCCCTAACATACTGTACAAAATCACCATGTGAGACTCTGTGGGAATTGCTTCACTTTAACAGTCTGTGATAATGTGACTGTCACACGAAACAATCCTCCTTTTGCTGGGAAAAGGTCTCCTCTGGGTAATATTTTAACTACAATAGTAGGACCTAGGTACATGATGTTTCATTGTAAAAGGTCCAATTGAAAAAAAAAACTTTTGAAACTGCTGGCTACGGGCCTGTATACTGAATAGAGATCATAGGTCTGGTTATCACTAAAATTACCTAGGAATGATTTGTATAATTCATTTATTGTATTGTAATATCATGGATGATTAAGGGATATCGGTCACAGAAGACTGCTCTTCCACGCTACATGGTTTATTGTTAAGGAACTTGTATAAAAATGTCTAATGAAAATCAAGAACCTTCAGCTGACTTGATTTCGTATCAAGTACATCTGAGTTATCCTATCTTTAAGGCAGCCAACTATTTTTAAGTGTTCACTTCATGTTGCAATTCAAAACTGTTCGTTCAATGGAATATGTGATATGTTCATAATTTGTTTTTTAAAAAAGTGAAATGATCTTGTTTTGATTTGTTTTGCTTTGTCATTATGGTAAACAGTTTCTAGTAAGGGCATATTTTAAAAGATTTGTTAACCGATTTGTGATTTTAGAGGACAGAAAAGTGGGTGGTGGAGTAAAATGTGGATGAACACAAAAATTTCCCTGATCAATTTGCTGTTATCCCATTGGGTCTAAGAGCTTGTAAGTATTATGAAAAAATTTAAAGGGGGGGGGGGGGGTTATGCAATGCGTTCGTAGATTTAGGCGTTACCAGAACCAACGATGCCTCACTACAGATGCCATCGATAAGCTTTTTTGCATTACTATTTTAGTAACATTTCCAAACACAACGCCGGTGTAGAAACAATTACTATCCCATCATACCCATATGTGCGCCAGAACACTAATGTGTACCATATATCACATTGTTTTATGCGTCCGAATCGAAGCAAATTTTGTTTACGCGTTCTTGTTATACACTTGAAATCTTCTTCAGTTTTGACTCTTAGGGCAACGTTTTGCGCTTCTTAATCACTTACCCTTAGTGCTGCATTTCCCAGACAACGCTTTGCGTTCTAAAGCACTAATAAAATGTTTTCTTTCCGTTAGGAAATTTCCATCAGTGCCGGGGGTACTACATGATAGACATGGCTGTCCGAAAGTAGGTCAAACCAACAGGTGGCGAAAGACTAGTACTTCAAGATAAGCCCTGAAGTGCAGTGCACACCAGTTTTTAGAAAAAAAATTAAATCGACAAATGAAATTGTTCAAATGTGAATTTTGTTCACAGGCAGGCTAATAGTCAGCAAAAATTAAAAACAGACAATTACGTCTATTAACTTTTAGGGTTTTTGAGTGTGGTTTTTACGGGGCTTGCGGTGTGTGGGTGAGGGAGGAGAAAGATAATCTGGAAAAGGTAAAGACACAATATGCTGTTCAAATTCAAACTCATTTTAATCCGTCATAATGTTATGTTAGATTTCATCACCCAAAAATTTGCATCAAATCTATATGGCACATAATTTTCATTCTGCACATTCTGCTGCTAACACTGGTGCATGTTCAGGTACAGTATCTGTATGCTGCAAATGTTACGTATACATGTACATGTAACTTAATTTCTTTCACAATTGCTTCATAAAAACAACTACAACAACAAGTATAAACCATTTTTAAATGGCAGCTAATAGTAACAAAAATATCATATTTTAAATACTTAATTTTGGAGAGCAAACAGTATTTTTGCTACATTAAAACTTTCCCTGATCAGTTCAAGACCATGTTCCACAGAAAGCGTTTCTCTGAGCCACTTCAGTGGCACACTTTGTGTAATATTAGCACATATTCCAAGTGATTTTCAATTAAATGCTATAAATTATAGTGCCCCCTAACATGGAATGAAAAAACAGTCATTAAAGAGGCATATAAAATAGTTATGTTAACATTATACAAAATGTTCAAGCTTTGGGTGAAGAATACTAAATATTGGATGAGAATATTGTGCAATATTATTCCCAACAAAATTGATGAGTTGGTTAATGTATATTGATTCCCTTCTAACAAGAATTAGTAGATGATATGATTATTGACATTTAAGAAGCATAACTAAATTTCAGAGATCATAATTTTTTTCAATGGGGGTGGGGGGGGGGGTGGAGGAGGGGCACAAAACAACCTGGGGTCAATTAAGGGGTCAATTTCTCTCTCTAGCAAAACTCAAACCCAGTCATTTTTTTAAACACGTGAAAAAAATGGAGCCAATAATAAAATGTAACTTTTTAAAAATCAGGGTTGGTTGCGCTCATTAACCATCTCGTCAATTGTCAAAAAAATTTCTATGTTCAGTTCAGTTCTCTAAGGAACATCACTAGAAATCTGCCAGTAACTCTTATAGAATTTTTAACGTGTATAAATGTAATGAAAACTATTCACTCAGTCAAAGTTTCTTCTGTAAAGTTAAGTATTTGAAAGATTATTTAATATGTACATTAGGATACACACAATTTCATATAAAATGTTACTCTTAAGAATTATGAATAAGTATAACAAATATCACTTAGTATTCCAATCTCCCTAATACATGTTTATATGAATCACAGTGACTCCAAGTTAAACATTTGTAAATCACAGCATAATAAGGACACTGTAACAGAGAGATACAACTTTTTTTGCAAAGTATTAGAAAGAAATTTCAATATATGCATTCAGATATACATACATTATGAACTGCTTAAGACTCATGAATACATTTTAGAACATTGCTTTGTCTTCAAATCATATTAATTACATACACAAACACACACAGAGATACATTTAATATATCTTAATTTTACCATATATATATTAGTACAATTTTCCTTAAGGAAAGAGGTTTAACCCTTTCTTGGTAATAAAAGTTGGAATCCTATTAATTCTGCAGAGTGACACTGAAATGATGCCATTTTTTAAAAGTAACTCAATTTACAAAGGAGCACTTTCGAGCCTTCTGACCATTAGAGGGCTAAATATTTTCATTTTAAATCTTTCAAGCTTGCATTTATTGATATCAAAGATTTAATATTTTCAGCAAAGCTATTACTATCTGCTCTTAAAACATATCTATCATACAGTATGTAAGAATACAGTCACATTCAAACAAAATTTTGTCCAGTGGCTCTTATAAAACTAAGATACATCTCAAGACCAATGTTATACAAAATATTTCAGGTTTGTCAACTGTAAAAAAAAAAAAAAGAAAAGAAAAGAAACAGCTTTTTGAAAGCCCTTCTATGATAGGAAGAAAAAAACAGCTTTATGAAAGTCCTGCCCTGATAGGAAGAAAAAAAAACAGGCTTTTTAAAAGCCCTGCTCTGATAGGTGAAACAGAAACAAAGGTTTCAGAAAATCCTGCTTTAACAGGATTGCGGTGCCACATCAAATGGCAGACAGATATATTCAACTCTGTCCATGAACACAGTTTGATTGTTGTGCTTCGTTGTTATTCTCGATGATTCCAGGAAACAGGAAGAGTTGTGGCTCCGTCAACATACTTTTAAACAAGGACATCTGCTTCTTGTTCCCATCACTATCCTTGTTCATCATCAGCTTATTGACCTAGATAAAATAAATAAACCATTAAATTAACAAGGCAGCAAAGCTGTCAAATGTACAGACAAAAAACAGAAAATAAAGATGCAAAAAAGGTCATTTTGTCAATTTTGATGCAATAATAAATAATGCTTATAATAGCACTGTCAGTCAACACTGAATTTTAATCTTGCACAACGGGTAACATGGTCAATAACAGGAGCAGACCCAGAGATATTTTCTGACAGTATTACAAAGTATCTATGTTGATCCATCCTCCATTTTGATGGTCTTCCAACATAAAAAAATAGATACCAGTCACTATAAACTTAATAACCTGACTGTCTTCTGGAAGACCCAGAAGATGGTATCAATCCACCCCTTCAATAAGATTACAGTTTCAGGACCATGAGAGTTCAAATTCACATTATGAAAGTCTCAATATCTGAAAAATGATGACAGTGCATAAAATAATATTACATAATGTTTAAAGACATAAAAAACAATACAACTGCTTATGTAGAAATACAGAAAATGTGCAGAGCCCCAGGCAGATGAGAGTTAAAAGTCACAAATGCAAGTGTTTGAGAAAAAATTATAAAGGAAAACAACAAAACTAGAAAAGCACTTTGAGAGTGCAGACCTCTGCCAAGGCAGCAATTGTTGATTATTATTGATAATTGATTGATTATTGATCCGGACCACCACCAAAAATTAATCATTGTCCTCTTTGGCCCACTTCCGACAGTTCCTGAAAATTTCTGCAAAAT